ATGTCCATATGTGGGGATGTGTCCATATGTGACTGAGTGGGTATGTGGACAAGTATGCATGTGTGTATCCACATGTGAGCAGGTATGTGCATGAGTGCACACAGACATGGGTGCACACATGCATGCATGTGTGTGTATAAGTGTGTGTACATGTGTGAAACTATGCACTTGTGTTTGTGAGTGTGTGAATTTTGTACATGGGTGAATTGTGTGAACATGAGCATGTGGTGAATGTGTCCATGTGTGTCTGCATGCATGTCTCTCTGTGTGTGTGAGCAAGAACACATGTGACTACATTCATTTGTTTGTGTCTTCATGTGTGTGCACATGTCTGTGTGTGAATGTTGTAAGTGTGCTCCATAACTGTGTCTATGTGTGTGAACACTCATGTGTGAGTATGAGCATGTGTGAATGTGTATCTGTGTGTGTTCATGTGTGTGACTGAGTGTGAGCACCCAGAGAGAAGGGGCTGTACCCACAAACATCGCCCCGGGCCACCCTCTGGAACCCCACCATGCTCACAGGGTCTTGAAGTCACCATCCCCGTCCCTTCAGGGAAAGGAGGGAGTCAGGCGTGTGGGCAAGAGGCGGCCTCGAGGGTGCAGGAAAGCCAGGGTGACGTCAAGGAAGAGAAGTTTCCAGAAGGAGGCGGGCCAGGTGAGGAGGCTGCCCATGGTCCAGTGTATAAGGGTCCAGGGGTGCTGAGGTTTAACCCTCAGATGCCCTTGGTGTGACCTGGACTGGGGGCCGACAGCCAGCCACTCTCACCTTCCTCCAGTGAGCTGATCCTGGGGAGTTACTGCTTCTTGGGTTTGCAACAACAAGAAAGTGGCGTCTGGGAAGGGCCAGACAGATCCCCACCCCTATGGCCCCAAAGGCCTCTGCTGGGTGGGGTGGGGGGAGGTGGTGCTGGGTGCGGGCCGCTGCTGCCCCCTGGTGGTGCAGGGAGGCTCTGCACTGTCCCGAGCACAGTGACTTCTGATCAGCTTATAGCTCATCTTGCAGCTCAGCTGCTCAGCTACATGCACAGACCCCGGAGGAGAAGACAGAAGGCGTGTTACACCCAGGACCCCCCGAGTGCAGCCCCATGTTTGGGGTGGGCAGGGGTGCATGATGCCTGGTGCTGAGACATCATCGCAGTTCACCCCCAGCTCCCCCTGAGAGGGGACTGCCCGCCAACAAGGAACCTGGGTGTCCCCACCTGACCCCTCAGCAGTGCTGGCACCTGCTGACCTGCAGGGGAAGGTGTGTTCAGCCCGTACGACAGAGGGGAAACAGGCTAACATGTGGCGGGTGCGGCTGTCCCAAACACAGCCTCAGACGGCCACCAGCCCCTAAGCGACTCACCCCGAGGGCCCAAGGCTGCAGGGGAACGGGGGACTTTGAAGACATCTCGGGGACGGGGTGGAGGTGCGCTGCAGGGGCAGGACCAGCGAGATGCCTTACCTGCCGCAGGTGCAGGAGGGGCGGAGCCCCACAGGCCCCTGCGGTTCCCCATGTGTCAACCTTCCTCTGCCCAAGAGCCCGGGCCTGGCTGACCCTCTGCTCCCACAGAAACGGGAACACCACGACCAGCCTTACAGAACAGGGTCATGTTAGGGGTCCTCAGGTGCGTGAAACAACAGCATGCAGTTGGCACTCATTACTCTAGAGCAGCCTTTGAGCACCAACTGTGTGCAGGGTCTGTGGTGGACAGAGTGAGGCCCCCTCCAAAGATGTTCAAGTTATAATCCCTGGAACCCGTGACACGAAGACTTTATCTGGCCAAAGGGATAATGCCATGAAGCGTCCTGAGATTGGGGGTGACCCTGGATTGTCACAGGGTCCTGATAAGACGGAGGCAGTGGGGGGTGGAGGGAGTCAGAGATGTGAGGACAGAAGAGAGGCTGCAGAGAAACAAGGAGGGACCACGAGCCAAGGATGCTGGTGGCCTCTGGACGCAGGAGACGTCGAGGAAACACACGGCCTGGACCAGTGGAAGGAAGCAGCCGTCCACTCCTTGACTGAGCCCAGTGAGAGCACGTCTGCGTGCTGACCTCCAGAGCTCTGACAAAATACACTGCTGTTTCCAGCCCCTGTAAGCTGATTCCGACTCATAGCACCCCTAGAGAACAGAGCGGAACAGCCCCGTAGGGTTTCCAAGGCTGCCATCTCTGCAGAAGCAGACTGCTTCGTCTCTTTCATGTGCAGCGCCTGGTGGGTTTGAACTGCTGACCGTTTGGCTCGCAGCGCAAGGCTTTAACCGCAGCACCAGCAGAGCTCCTTAGGCCACCAAGGTCGTGGAAGTCTGTCACAGTGGCTGCAGGGCATGTCTCCCGGGGCCTGTTCTGCTGTGACGGATTCCTGGTGACCCGTGTGCACAGAGCAGACCTTAGCCTGGTGAGCTGCCGCCTTGCCCCCTGGTGGCCCGGCGTAAGTGTGTGAACCATCCAGTCACCTTGCCCTCATTCTAGGAAGCGATTTTGTGACTTTTAAACAAAAGTGGTCACCTGGGCCTGTTCCCGTGGGGGTCTCCAGCCCCACTCTGCCCAGACCCCAAGCTGCCTTGAGCGGGGCATTGGTGGGCCCCAGGCTGCTGGCCCTTTGGTGAGGGGGTCACTGTTCCGGGAAAACAGGGGGAGGCTGGGCTGCAGGCAGGGGGCGCAGGGCTCGGAGCCCCACATCTGCCCAGCCCACGGTGCAGCCCGGGCCCCCTCCTCGCCAGAGCCCGCCAAGCGTAGCCCTGCCGGAAAGAAGAGAAGGCTCTTTGGGACACGCTTCACCCTATTTTAAGCCATAACTCTTGGAAGCTTCAACCTGGGCATCGGGGTAAAAAGGGGCTGCTGGAAGGGCAACACTCCCCGTCCGCCGCAGCCACCGCTCTGGCTCAGCTCACGGACCGCGGGTGGCCCCGCACCCTGGCCTTTCAGCTTCCATCGCCACGGCCACGTGGCCCCCAGATACTGTCCCACCCTCCGGGAGTGCACCGACTCAGGAGCCCGGCTGGCCCCAAGCCCCGCCCATGCAGGTCCGCGCCTGCGCCCTTCTCCACGACGCCATGCTGCCCCCTAGCGGCGAACTTGGTTTCCGGCAAGTGTTGTGCTGACCCTTGGACCTCCAGGCTCCCTCCTCCTGCTCTCAGTCCTTATCCTGAGCTGGGATGACTGGATGAATTAATTAGCGGGGGTGTTGGCGTCGCTCACGTGTGGGGGGACGGGACACCCGCACCCCAACCTGGAGGACGCGGGGTGCACGTGCAGGTGAGCACCAGGGAGTCTGGAACAGTGTGGGAACTTGTTTCAGTTTTGACCTCCAAACGTATTGTGACAGTGGGCACTTCCGGTATTTATTCAAGGAGATGGCATTGATTTTACTGTGTGCTGGGCCCTGGACACAGGGTAGAGTGACCTCCATGTCTTCGTCACCGTAGAGGGGACCAGCCAGTGGGGAGGACACTAGCAATAACCACCCAAACAAGATACTTTCAAGGAGTGAAAAAAACCAGAAAGGGACTGAGAAAAAGGGGCCATGGAGCTGACAGGCAGAGGGGGTGATACTAGACAGGGTGGTCCAGGAAGGCTTCTCGGAGGAGGTAACCAGATGATGGGAAGGAGCCAGCTGCAGGGAAAAGCATTTCAGGCAGATGGAACAGCATGTGCAAAGGCCCTGAGGCAGTAAAGTGCTAAAGCCTTGGAGGAAGAGCCAGGCATCCCTGTGGCTGTGGCGGGTGGAGACATAAGAGGACAAGGGAAAGGAAGGGTGGGAGGGGCCGGAGTGGGTGAGGTGTTGGAGGCCGTGCTGAAGAGTGGGGATTTGGCCAAGGATGTGGCAGTGGGGTCGAGACAGGCTTACGGTGGTCCCTCTGGGAATCTGGATCTCAGTGAGGCAGTTCTGACGGATACAAGCCTGACTTTCCTTCCTGTTTTTGCTCTTGCAGAAGTTTGTTGCTGCAAACCCCACCTTCCATATTAAAATTCCCCCAAGAAAAATAGAATTTGTTTTTCAAGTCTGACCTTTGACAGTTATTCATCTCCTTTTCCCACTGAAACGAGTTTGTTGGGGAAAGAAGAACCGCATCGTTCGACGATGTTGTCAAGTCAATTCTGACTCCCGGCGAGCCCGTTACAGTCCCATGTGACACAGAAGAGCCACCCGCAGGGTCTCCTAGGCTGTGAGCTTCACAGAAGGCTTCCCTAAAAGGTGGATGTGTGGGAGGCCAGGCCCTGCTCATCCATGCCCCACCCCCTTCCCCTTTCCCCTTGGCTGCTAGGAAGCGCAGAGCATCCTGTCTAACCCAGGGCTGAAACATCTCCCTCCCCTCACACGCTGGGGAGTCCTTCCTCCGCCCTCCCTCCCTCCTCTGCTCCCACACTCTCCTGTTTCACTCCCAGCTGTCTGTCTGCCTTGCCTGTGGAGTGAGGACAGGTGGCAATCAGAACAAGAGAGCAAGGTATCCTGGGGAAGCAGTCCTGGGGGAAGAGGGTGGCAAAGTCAGGGTCCTGAGGCAGGCGGCCCCTCCCAGCCGCCTCGAGGCCAGTGCTGGCACCTTCGATGGCCCACCTGGGCCTCCTGTACCTCCAGGAGCCAGCTCCAGGAAGGAGGCAAGGACTGTAGATAAGATGTTGTCAGATAAGAGGCCCGTTGACCTTGATGGAAGGGAACGGCAGGGCCTGGAGCTTTCACCAGGCTCTCTTGGCATCAGGCTCGCATAGGAATAAAAATACCAGGTGTGGGTGGGTGTGGGACCGCCCCGACAGGACACCTCTGGAAGGTGAGGAGCGACAGGAAATTCCACACCTGTCCCCACCCAGTGGGGGTCGGCAGGGATGTGGCCCTCGGGTCCCGAATCTCCTCTCTTGAGCCTTAGGCCTCGATTTCCCCGTCTGTAAAACAACCCCAACGAACCCTACCTCCCGGGTGAGGCTCAGGGGAGACAATCCCTCGAGGGACCTTGCAGGTTGTAGAGTGCAGTGCTTCCTTCTGGGGTCTCTGCTCAGAGCTGCCCCCCCACGCTGTCCACCTCACCCCACCCCTGCACGGCTGCTGGCCGCTGACACCTGGGCGTGCCGTGGCAGGTGATGTGCCGGCTCGGGTCGACCCCAGGGCTCCTGAGCTGGGCTCTCGGCCCTGGTCCTGCTTGGTCCTTGACCAGGGCCCCCGTGGGGCCGGGCCGTGAAGCCGGGCTCATCACTAGGGCCCCCGCAGGGCCGGGCCAGGGAGCCGGGCCCATCACCAGGGCCCCCGCGGGGCCAGACCGGGGAGCTGGGCCCATCACCAGGGCCTCCGTGGGGCCGGGCCGGGGAGCTGGGCCCATCACCAGGACCCCCGCGGGGCCAGACCAGGGAGCTGGGCCCATCACCAGGGCCCCCGCGGGGCCGGGCCGTGAAGCCTGGCTCATCACCAGGGCCCCCGCGGGGCCGGGCCAGGGAGCCGGGCCCATCACCAGGGCCCCCACGGGGCCGGACCGGGGAGCTGGGCCCATCACCAGGGCCCCCGCGGGGCCGGACCAGGGAGCTGGGCCCATC